ATACAAAGTTTACATATGGATATGTATTATACAGTATGTATCCCGTATATATGGAAGTATATAATATGTATTCTTTTTGTGGTTGGCTTCTTTATCTCAGCATTATGCTTGTGAGCTTTATCCATGTTGCTGCATGTAGTTTTAGTTCATTTGTTCCCATTGCTGCACAGTATTCCACTGCATATACACCTACTCCTCACTTATCGACTGTCTGATTATCTGACATTTCACATTTATGACAACTTTGAAAAAATTCTTTGGTGGCACCAGTAATGGTCTGGGCCCCATGCGGAGCTGCTGCTGGGCCTGAGGCTCCCTGTGTGGGCCACCCAGTATGTTATACTGGAGGCCCTGGTGACAACCAGGCCACGCGAGGGACGGTGGCTGAGCGTTTGGAGGACACCTTCTCCCATTTGTCTGTGACGTCCTGGTCCAGCCATGGAGGTCCTGGGGCGATGGAAGGATGAGGCGAGGTTGTGAGTCGCCCAGGGCGGCCAGGCAAGGGGCCAAAGGTGCTCGGGAGGTCTGTGGGAGGAGATGGAAAGGGAGGGAGAGGAAGAGAGGCAGCGTGGGGCTGCGAGGGCCAGGGTGGACAGAGGACAAGTGAGGTCCCTGCCCAGGGCAGGCAGTGGAGGCGGGTGGCGGGTGCGGACAACACCTGACTACAACCACCACCACCACCACCCTCAACCCCAGTGGGCTCCACGGTGATGGGGAAGGCATGGTGGAGAAGGAGGGCCCACCATGCCATGCACATCCCGAGATGCACTGGGAGCACCCATCAGGCAGTGAGCATTGAGGGTGGTGGGGGGAGACACTGGCACTGAAGACAGGGCACAGCCCCCAACTCTCGCATAACATCGATTTCATGTAACAACCTGGTCTTTGGAACCTAACCATGTTGATAAGTGAGGAGTGGGTGTACTTAACTTTATCCCTTCCCCTGTTGATAGACTTGGGTTGTTTTCAGTTTTTGGCTATTACCAAATAGTGAATCTATCACCATTCTTGTAGGTCTTTTGGTTAATGTATATAAGCATTTCTGTTGAGTGTATACTTAGGAGTGCGATTGTTAGATCATATGGTATGTGTAGGTTCACCTTTTCTAGATACTGTCAAACAGTATTCCAAAGTGGTTGTACCAGTTTATACTCCCACCAGTACTGTATGGTAGTTCTTGTGTTGCTTTTTTTTTTATTTTTATTTTTTACTTTTCTGGTGAGTTCTTAATGGTATCTCATTGTGGCTTTATTTTACATTTCCCTGATGACTAAGGTGAAACCTTTTTGTATGTTTATTGGCTATTTAGATACCCTCTTTTGTGAAGTAACTGTTCAAAACTGTTATCTATTTTCTGTTGGGTTTTCTGTATTCTTAGTATTGATTTATAGGAATCTTTAAACATTCTAGATAAAGGTCCTTTATCACTTACGTGTGTCATAACTACCTTTTCGCAGTATGTAGCAATTGACCTAGCACCATTTATTGAAAAGACAGCTTCCCCTGTTGTAGTGTCACCTTTGACATAAGTTTAGGTGATTTATGAGGATCTCTTTTTGGACTGTCTTCTTTCCACTGCTCAGTTTATCCATCTTTTTATCAATGCCACACTTTCTTATATTTTCTGTAGCTTTATAATAGATATATGCTTGTTTTAAGTCCTCCATTTTTTTCTTCTCTAAGATTTTGTTTTGGCTATTCTTGGCCCTTTACATTTCCATATAAATTTTAGAATTGGCCTGTCAGTTTCCACAAAAACACCTTCTGGATTTTGATTGCATTTGTGTTTAATCAGCTTATCAATATTGAGTCTTCAGTCAGTCCTGCAGTTAATTTGATGTTTGATCTCTCTAAATATTTTGTAGTTTTCAGTATAAAGTTTTGTGCATCCGTTGTTGAAAATTTTCTATTTCTTAATGGTATTTTAAATTATATCATTTTTAAATTTACACTGTTTTTGATGCTGATATCTTAAATGTAATTTTTTTATGATTACCTGGTATTCAGCAATTTGTTATATTTATGTATTTTCTAATAGTTGTCTGCAGATTCTTTTTGATATTCTGTGAACATAATCATGTCATCTGCCAATTTTGGATTAACATCTTGGAGTTTTGTATCTCTATTAATGAGAGATTTTAAATAATGAATTAAATTTATAATCAATGTTTTTAATAATGACTTCAGTTTCTTTAATATTGGATTATTCATATTTTCTTTTTCTTCTGTCAATTTTAGAAAGTATGTTTAATGTCACATAGCTAATAATTGGCATGGCTAGGATTAGAATTTTGAGCTGCCTCTGTATCTGTGCTTTTCTACCCCAGATGGACTCTGCTTCAAGACTCTCATGCTCTAGTTAAAGATAGATACAATAAATAAATGCAGTATGATGACTGTAGTCCTATAGTTAGGAGTGCATGTAAAGTACAGTGGAACAACAAACGATGCAGAAAGTAAAATGTCTTTGCAGATCAAAGGCTTACAGAAAAGGGAGCACTTGAGCTGGCCCTTGAAGGATGGTAGGGATTTATTAAACTGACAGTGGGTAGAAGGGTATTCTAAACAGAGGAAATTTCATGTACTAAAACCCAGAGGTATGATTGTATATGTTTTATTGGGGAAATTATAACTGATGTGAAAGGTAAACGTAGTATAATATAAAAAAAAATAGGGCTGGAAAGGATAGGATGAATCTAGACTATAAAAAGCCTTAGATGTCAGGCCAAGGCGTATGGACTTCATCTCAAGTAATAGGAGGTCATCATAGGTATTTATTTAAGCAAAGACTGACATGATAATATTTTTGTTTCATAACAATAGCTTCAGGAAAATTGTAAACAATGAATTAGAGGAGAGAAGGACTAGAGGCAGGGAGATGAATTAGGAATCTATTCAAAATGAGGGATGATATGGCAGTCATAGTGGAAATGGAAAGTAGAAAGTAGATCCAAGGGATCATGTAAAGACAAAGTAGATAGGACCTGGTACCCAGTTGGACTTTGTATCTAAGGGAAGATCAGTTGATGATAACTCTTGAGTTGCTAGCAGTTATTTTATCTCCCTTTACGTATTATATCTTGGAATGCTTTTTATCTATCAAATGCATCAATTTTGGTTAGCTAATCTAAAGAATATAATATTTCATGCTATGTATATGTGTGTGTGTATATATCTATGCACACATACTATGAGCCCATTGTTATTTGATACTCAGCAATATATAATACAGTAAAAGTGTAACACCAACTTGATTTTCTACTACATTTATGATTATCATATTTTTGGATCACTGCCTAAGGTAATTTTATTAGAATAATTTGGTCATTTGATTGCCCAGTTGAGTTAATGTCCTTTGACTATCAATTTTTATGAAAGATTGTTACTTAAGATAAATTTGGAGTTATTAAATGTTCAGATTGGGACTAAAGTATGATTTATTGTCCATGTAATTCTTAAAGCTATCATTTAAGAGCTATCTTTTGCAGTCTGTATTAAATTAAGGAAAACAGTGCCCTCTAATGAATGTTTGATAACTGAAGTTTTTGTTGTGAGTGGCTGTTCCTACCACTTCCCTTG